GGCATCTTGTGCTTACTTCCTTGCGTACGGATGACAGCTGCGTATGACTTAAATTATTTTCTGGCTTCACTTCCAGAAACAGTTGTTAGCACTGTGGAACTGCCTCGAGGGTGCTTGACCATTTTAACACAACGTGGTGCGATCATCCCCCTTGCACGGAGTGAGGGTTCTCCACCCCGCACATCATGTCTACTCGACCACCATTATGGTTTCCGCCAAGAAAAAAACAGAGGTAAAAAAGAACGGTAACCTGGTTGCCGAGTTCACGAAGTGAATTGGCTTGTTTTACAACGTCGTTGCCAAGCGACGAAAACCCAACCCCGATGGCCAACACCGGGGGGGGGAGCGTGGTGGGAGCGTCCCGAAATTTGTTCCAACACTTGTCAAAATCAACTAGTTCAACGTTGATTGAAGTTTTGGATAGGATTAATGATCAACAGCCTTCTTTGGTGTACGGTGGTATGCTATCAACACACCCTGGTTCCTCTGAGTGGTGTTCCATTAACGCACAACAAGGACACGAATCAACATTACCTCTTCCACAAGAAATCGCGAATCGTGTCTTCTACCCCCCTTCGCCCCTCTATGCTTGACTCGAGAGTAAACGAGTTCACAGCACCTCGAAAGAAGGTCGTCAAGAACGGGCCGGCAAGGTCGGGTCAAGGTTCAACCTCTGATTTTGACCCAAGAAACGGCCGAGTCGCTCAATATGTTACAAATGTTCATGTTGTGTTGAGTGCGGGTTCTGTACCCCGAGTTTCGCGTTTTTCCATCCCTTCCCTTCCCTTCGCTCGTACAAATAGGACCGACCGAAGATGCTCAAGAAGAGAAAATATAGTGCACCTCAGCGTGTGCGATCGACTAGTTTTTTCACCGCCCAGGCCTACCACCGCCACATCTCGCATACTGACACAGACAGACACACAGGCAGAACTCGCGTAGCAGTATTTTTTGCCGCCTTCCGGCGCGTTTTGACGTTTTTCGGTGGGCCCGTGGAGTATTATTAATGCTTCCATGCCTGGTCCGATGAGAACCCGGCGTGCTCCGTCACGGCTTCGTAGGGATGCGAGGTCAATGGTTTAACGACTACGGCATGCACGACTATGAGTACACCGCCCCTCCCCCCCTACCATGCTTTCCATCCACGGGACAACACGTTTCTGGAAAAAGTGTCAATAATCCGGGGGTTTTCCTGAATCCGAGTGTCATTAAAGCGGGGACGACTGTACGTTCCATTTTCAAATCTGACGGGATCGCGCTTTTCTCGCCAACAATAAATAAAACCTATTTTTCTCCGACCAAACGATCCGTTAATCAATCGCGCGTTGGAATATATTCCCAAGCGATTCCGGCAATATTCAACCGGATCATCCTACATAGTTGTCAGGTTTTAAAGTGCGCCACACCTTTTTGTGTGTGTGTATCTTTCACGCGGGGAAACTTTCGAATGTCTTAGTGGACAGCGCTATCGCCATCCCTGGTGTCAACGGGGGTGTTCTGTTCGTCGATAGATGCGCCTTGAGGAACAGAATCACAGCCCCAAAGGAAAACATATACCATGGCACCCCCGAAGTCTGGTCTCTTCACCGCACCCGAAGGCACCGATGCTGCAATTCTCTCCATGATTATGGTAAACCTCACGTTTTAACTCTGGTGAACAAGTTGTACCTAGAACAAGAGCGTGGAGTCGAGGGTACGCTGTCAACCCACCTTGTTCCTCTGCGCGGAAGGCTAGGGCAGCAACGATACAGCCAAGAATGCGACTACAACGAACGGAGTGTTTCTTGTACCCAATCATGGCTTGCCCCCCCCCCCCCCTCCCCCCCGTTCCTCCCCTACACCCTTAACTAGAGTTTCACGATTGACCGAAGGCACAGCTCTGAAAAAGGGTTTGGTGCAGCTTTTTACCGCATTCGCCATCCTTCCCTTCCTGTAAAACCTGGAGCAAACGTGCTCGGGACCAGAGTAGCGCTGTGATCGACGATATAAGACGACTCAGGCCTACTTCCGTCGTTTTTCATCTCTCTCTCTCGAAAGGAATCTCTGAGTACCCACACACACAGCCAGCCGGAGGTTTAGGCCTCGCGGAGCACTTCTCGCGTTCACGCCCGATTGTTATCGGGGGGGGGGGCGTGGAGAAGAAACGACCCCGCGTGTACAGAACAGACCCGCCGTTAAGAAATATTTCCAGAAACGGTGACTATCATTTCACGTAAATACAGAATATAGGGCAAAAGAACACCGCTACTCAGAGGTGGTCCGAGACTAAACTCCGCAAAACGGCAATGTTCGATAGTGGCGATGATTCAAGAAAGTGAGCCTCGACCTGATTATTCTGTCTCTTTTCTTTTGCCCCGTTCTGTACAACATCGGCAACTTTTCGCATGTGGTACACAATACAATGGTTCTCTGAAAGAAAAAAAGGAAGTTTTTATCTCCCTTCTGGTGTGCCTCAAAACGCGTACGACCGCATGTCATGAAGAACAATTTTTTTCGTTTAATAATGGGGGCTTGTATGAAAGTCATAGACTTGACACTCCGATTGTAAGACCGATTGTTGCGCGCAACGGCTTGCCCTGTTTCAGCCTCCGACTCTTTGCTTTTGCGGATCCCTCCTCCGCGCTTCCGTATTTGCATCTCACTCTGCTTTCAGTCGTGGGAGACATCGAGCTTGGTGACTTGCAATGTGACAGCCTTGAGGATGCTGCGGACTCTAGCCTGCTGCGATTCACGATGAGCTCTACGGAGGTGAGGTCCGGGGGACAAGCACCCGCCGGTTGTTGGCAGACGATAACCTCGAGCAGCAGGTGTTGTGCCTTGCACAACTACTGGTGATGTGAGAAGGAGGAATGGTGACACAGCGAAGGGGCCAAACCTTTTCGATGCGCAGCAGGACCCAACTGCCTTAAGACCGAACTAAGCAGCAGAGCATGGTGAACGGCCTCGCTAATAGCGCACGAACGTTCTTCATACCCCAGCTATTGTCACACGAACTGCAAGCCTTCCACGCAATATTTCATTGGGCGTTTAGTCAGGGGAACGCCGCAGACACTCTTGTCGAATCACAGGAACTGTTGCCGAATGCTTCGCCTCTGTTAACCGTTGCAAAATCGATACTTTACTGACAGACGGTGATAGCTGAGCGCACCTCCTACACGTCCTTCGACGGCAACGTTCTGCCGGACGGAAACGCGCGCAAGGTGGGTTCACCAAACATTGCGGGGGGTGTACTCGTGTAAAACGCTACTGTAGTCTTGAGACCATTGACTTCGCTCCAATGCCGGGACGGGGCGATATACCCGCCCCATATTTCGCTTAAGCGCAATGCCTGCCTACGTTGACGAAGGATTGTTGTGAAACCGCCTCTCTGAACTTTGATCCCTTTACAGCCCCTGTTTGTACAGAGTAGCCATGTCGAGAAAGTTGTCAACAGGAGGACGGTATCGTCCAGACAATGTCGTACCATCACGCACACACGGCGGTTCACTCTTCCGGGTTGTTCCGTGTCCTGTCCGAGAATTTGACTGAACTGAGCTCCACGGCATTGAACCGCACAGCCTTTACAGGGAGAGCAGGGCATTCGGCCCTTCGAAGTGGACTACGGACGACACACCCTTGTCCACCCAACATATTCTCTCTAGTCTTTATCGTAACAGGGTCTTCATCACTTACCTTGCCTTCGTGGGACTCTTACCTGCAACTCGTGCGCAACTCCACCGACCTGTGGCGGCCTGTCTGAGGCTAGACCTGGCTGGGAGAAGTCGTCGACCCCGAACCCTCCGCCAATTCCATCCCCAGGACTGTCAGTATGACGTGGACGGACCCATGCGACATTGAGGTAGGAGTCCTGGGGCAGGGTAGCTCAACGCCACCGGTTGCGACAACTTCCTGAGCAGAACGGGCTCGATACCAGTAGCCGACTGCACGGCCATGGGCAACTGTAGTCCATTGCCGCACAGGCTAGTAGGCGTCGTACGTGGTGTACGAAGAGGCCACGCACATATGGGCCTTACAGGGCAGATATCTCTTGTCCGTCCTACGTGCTACAATCCATACCGAGCATCGTCTGGGTAGACTTGCAAGGTTTTCCGCAGTTCCCTGTGTCTGATGTCGCCATCGTGTGTTACTGGACTGTTCGATTTCGATGCGCCCTCAGACTTTCCTCCTGAAGCTCGTGTCACGAAACTCAGACGGCAGCACCTCTATTGTCACATCCGTACCGTGCTCCGCTGGATCCAGCAGCGAAATTTGCATGGTGGAGGTGAGTGGGTTGTGGCTGCCTGGACTTGGAGTTCGTCAGCGCAGAAATGTGTTTTTCTATACACGTGGACCCGAGTCTGGCGACGACTTGAACGGAGCAGCGAAATGTGGCTGTCTCACTTGTACGTACAGTTCACGGCAATAAACAAGACCAGTGCGTCATTGTGCATGCCGTAGTTATAGAGGGACCGTTGCCCGAGTTGCGAAGCACGACGTTCTGCTGAACGAAACGACAAGGGATGAAACGATTCCAACGTGGTTGTTGCGTTGATATCATTGATGGAGACTTTTGGAACAAATGACCGAAGCAATTGGACGTGAGTGGCAGGTTGCATGTCCGTACGTATGCATTAGCGGAGACAACCGCCCTCTTGCTCGTAAACAACGCACAGCTCCAAAAGTTCTTCTACGACGAAAGCGACGCTGTGGACACCGCACAATCCTCTTCATCAAGCTCCACTTCCAAGTACCAGGGCTCTCGGATGCTAAACGTGAGTTGAGACAATGCTCGGCAAGAGTAAGCTTTGTCTTGCGACACCTGAAGGGCATCACAATGCCTAGAAGTCCTTCTCGGTCTTGCGCACCGGGTGACGATCGTAAGAAACCATATACAGTGAGTGCAGCAGATGAAAACACCATGCGTGTATCAATGCACCTTCATCAAACACCCCGGCGAAGTGCTCTTCGCGGGCTTTGTGTGCTGCGCTCTGCTAGCCCGCTTCCTATGCCCAAACGCTCGGTTGCTCTTCGCCCTGCTTCGTGTCTACGCGGTGAATCGCCCTCGACGCATTCCTTTGATTTTGTGCCAGGAACGACGTGTGTCGACGACCTTTATGGAGGAGGGGTCGCGTTGGTCGCAAGGCATACCAAGCGACCGCAGCCTGCAGGGCACAACAGTGGTATGCTCTTAAACCCGTTTGCCAAGCGCAGATCAAAAAGAGTCGAAGTGAAGCTGTTTTCACTACGAAAACTCTATACCCGCGAGAGATACCGGCAGTCGCTCACGTGGACGCGCAGATCACCGGAACCTTGAAAGCGGGTGCAGCTGTACCTACGTGCCTGGTAGCAGCCTTTTTCGAAAGTCAATACTCGAAAGCTGATACGCTTCACATTCCAAGACCTGACGCGTTACGAAAACGAAAACTACCGCCGGCATTGCCAAGCCGGCCCAACGTCATCGTGTGTAGTTGCGACTGGAGTGGACGCTCGTCCATCGTTCTACTAGTCAAGAAACGCTGTGTGTGCGACAATTTTTGCATTAGAACGCTAGCGATTTTTTTTAATATACGATGCCGATACCGCACGGTCAAAGTACACCCACATGGGAAGAGTCAAACATTTTCATTGGAGCGATAAGAACTTCATCGAAGAGCGAGGACAGACCTGGAACGATAAGTAATACATCCACGTAAACGCCAAGGCGAACGTACGCACTCAATAATGTTATCATAGAAATCTGTTTTGAGGCCTCTTTCGGATTTCCTTAGACCAAGGGGGAAAATCCAACATCGACTGTCGTCCAGCAGGCTCAAAAGTCGTGAATTCACGGTTTCAGCTAGCCTCTGTCCACGATTTTATTGCAAGTCGTGCCAAAACTGCCGGCGGCATGCCCACGGGTCCCGGTGTGGTACACTCCTGGTGATCACCACTTTCCACACGGGTTCGTTCATACGAATACTATGTTGTCAAGCTCCTGTCGGGAATGTTTTCAGCTTCAAAATGTGTTTCGTGCATGACAGCCACCTTCAGGGTGCGGTGTCGTTCGGCGATTTCTCTCGTTTCTCTGACAAAGAACTTGCACTCCCAAACTACAATGCGAACCATGAAATCTCTATGTTGAGACCCCCCACCTCCCTTCTGTAGCGCTGGTGTTGGACGTGTACGTTGCGGTTTGAGGGAAACTGCCAAAGGCGCTTCTTCGAAATCCATAGGTATTCTCAGTACCGTAAGTATACGGGTCGTGGCACGGATCGGCGACACCGCAGGGTCGGGGTCTTGGCACAGGGGGTGCGGAAACAAAACCGGCTCCAAGTTGTGTATTTGATTATCACGCAGTTATCATTCACTCCGCACACGGTGTGCGAAGGCACCCATACCTTCAATGAGCATGGGCGATGCTACGAGTGGTTTCCATTCCTTTTTTACGGGATACAGCTGACAACGGGAGCTTGTATCATGGACTCCACTTCTTCCCCTCGCTCCTCGACAAGCTTTTGCTTAGACATGGGTTGTAGTGAAGGGGGGGGTCTTTCTGGCGAGCAGGGCTAGACTCACCCTCAAGGGATGACCGAAACCTTCTTGCTGCTGCGCATATCCGCCGCGAGGCATGCGCGTGGTGGTGTAGTTGGGTCGGCACTGATGGGGTCAGGC